CTCAGGGCTGGCAGTATAGCTCAGCGGACTGAGCCCTTGCTTTCGTAAGTGCAGGGGCCAGGGTTCGGTCCCTGGCTCTGAATGCCGTGCTGGCCCTGCCCTTGGGGGCACTGAGCTGGTGATGGAGTCCAGGTGTGGTGGCACGCGCCTGTAATCCCAGCACCAAGGAGGCAGAAATCAGGAGGATCACTATGCATCTGGGCTGAGTTAAGAGACCCTGATGCAAAAAGAAAAAAAAAAAAAGGAAAAAGGAAAATGGTTTCTCTTACCTATTGCAGGTTGTCCCTTTACACTGGTCTCGTAATCTCACTTCACAAGAAACAATTTGGGCTATAGGTTGAAAGAAATAATAAAAAAAGAAAAAAAATAATGGCGTGAATGTTTCTATAATTCATGATACATAGTGTAAAGATAAGTTTATCTCATTGTAAAAATATCCAAATAAATAAATATAGGTGGATATGCATCTATGTAACTGTAACTGTTTTGTAAATAAACTGGAGGTCTTACACATTTGTTGTGTGCTTATGACTTCATTTCTGTTGCTATCATCTGATCTTGCTCGCACTCGGGTGTCACGCACTTGGGCCTGCTGACGTTCAATCTCATTTGTCTCTTCTTCACGAGGAGGGTAGTATCTGTCTGACCCCTCTGTTACAGAGCATGAATTTAAGTAACATGAATCCCATTTCCTTTCAGCACAAATTACTAAACAACAAAAGTGTTTTTATATATCTATTTCGTGTTTGACACTAGAAAAATCAGCACTTTACTGGCAGAGGTTTTGGCTTAAGGTCATGGTCTTATACACTGCACTGAAGTAAATATAGCGCACACATAGCTTTTGGTTCACTGATGCTCACAGCTGGATGGTATTCGATGGAGTCATTTCTAGACTCTGCTTATATTGCAACATGTAATCCATGTTTGGTTTTCAAAATGACACCACGATAGCTATACAATGATCTATTAAATTTGAGGCTTAGGGAAATCTGGATTTGTTTCTCCACATGCAATCATATTCTTGGTATTCTCAGAAGGGTCACATTTTGAATTCTCCCCAGTGGAAATGTGACCATAAGAGGATCCACATGCCTGTGGAATTTACTATAGCAGCCATGTCCACAGAACATGGACATTTTTTGCTCTTTTAGACAATGCTTTAACATGCAAGACTTTAAACGTGACAATAATGGTTTCGAACTTTTAACTTATTTTTCCCCCAAAAACTTGAGAGTTCCTAATTGATACATTCTGGACGTGTGTCATTATTTTCATGTGGAGAATTTATGAACTACAAAAAAAAGAGATTATGAAGTGAGGGGAAAAATAGAGTGGTCACTGATAAGACAAGGAGGTTTCAAGTTTAAGGATACACACACACACACACACACACACACACACACACACAATTGAAAGACATTGTACCTGCTTCCAGGAATAAAAAGTAACATACAACAAAGTGACATAAATAGGATTTCTTCTCTGTTCATTAGAACTAACAAGCATTCAGTCATTAAAGGAAAGCAAGACACATATCTTTATGAGCACTAAAAATGTATGTACTCAAATTTTTCTAACACACTTAATCTATACACATCTTTAATCATCAATAATGAAAAAGAGGGGCCTGGAAGATGGCTCAGTGGAATAAGTGCTAGCCTGACAAGCGCAGGGACCTGAGTTCAATTCCCAGTTCTGCCAAAAAATAAAAAAATAAAATAATGAAATAGAACAAGACAGTAAAAAAAATGTCCATTTGACTGGCCAGAGCATGAATTTTCACAAAATTTTCTCTTCATGTGTTATAAAAGAGACAACATGTTATATTTACTTTTTAAGATTTCAACTGCATTTGAGAGTACTAACTTTAGATGAGTTTTATAACATTATTTTTGCTGTTGTTATTTTGGCCTGACAAATTAACCAATCTGCAGCAAGAGGTAGATGGCAATATAATTCACCCAACATGATGGGTCAGTAATGTATGTGGGGAAAGATATTTGTAAAAATGCTCAAAGTCCTAAAAATGTATTGTATCCAACTGCTAAATCCTTCAAAATTATAACTATTATGGAAACATTTCTATTTAATGTAAATCAATGGTTATAAGAATATATCTTATCATTTTAAAGTAATATCAGTGCAGAAATAGAAGTAGTCATCTGATAAAATCATACAACTCCCATTTCAATATACATTGATATAATTAACTTACTAATATTACAAATTTATGATTTAAAAATAAATTATAAATTATGTGTACTTAAGTAGCTTCTTCAAAATACTTGAACTAGAGTTCTGAACACTTTCCATGTAGTACTACAGTTTTCTTTTAGGTGTGTGTGTTTCCGTCTGCTTCTGAGCACAGACCCAAGGCCTTCTGGATGCTAAGCAGGACTGCACCCCAGAGTTACACCATCAGCAGACGCTTGAATTTTTTTTAACACAAGTTAATGCAGAATTGAATAAAAATATAAATCAAAGCAAACATTACAATGAAATACTACTTACCTTTATAACACAGATTTTCTCTACAGCCCCCTCCAAAACTTGGGGGGCAAGCAGAACAGGGCCGTCCATGCTTATAAGGGGCATGGCCCCACCAGTTTCCCCTTAAAGAAATGGTGCACTTCATTAAGAGGTAATGTAACAGCATTACTTATAAAACATTATAAAATGCTACTACCTATGCATTTGAGAGCACTAATTTCTTCTAGATAATGATCTCTGTGTGTTAGATTTGAGACACGGACATACTTTAGTATAAAGTCCTCTTGGTTATTAGGTTTACTTATAGAAGACTACTTCATTCTTTTCAAACTTTCAAACTAATTTGCTATATATACTCCTAAAAAATAAAAAATCTAACTTGTACTGAATACTAAATTCTATATGAGATGTTCAGCTATGTGTTAATACATACAGATCACAAATTTAAATTTGACTCTAAAACTGGTTCTAAAACTTTCAGTGTAATCATTTATCTGGCCTATGCATAGATGCAAATAAATTCCTCAGTTACTTTTGCTTGGTAATTGCTAATCAGAATTACTAAATATTTATGGAATAGCTCAGTGTGTAACGTTAAGGACATAATGTGATCCCTGCCTTCATGAAGATCATATTTTCAATTTTCATGTTCCTTTAGCACAGATAACATAGACAGAAGGCAAGTACAATCATTGCCATATTAAAGAACTGAATCAAA